GCGAGTGCAGCAAGCGCCTTGGCGATCATCGGCGCGGGCTGGGCCGGGCTGGGCGCTGCGCACCACCTGTCCAAGCAGCCCGGGCTGGACGTGCTGCTGGTGGACGCCGCCCCGTCCGTGGGCGGGCTAGTGGCCGGGTGGAAGACGAACAAGGGCAAGGACGTGGAGGTGGGCATCCACGGCATGTGGCGCCCGTACTTCAACATCTTCGACCTGGTCCACAACCAGCTGCGCCTGGACCCGTTCACGGACTGGACGCGCTCGTCGCAGCGCTCGCCCAAGGGAAAGGTCGTCGAGAGCCCCATCTTCAACGACCTACCCCGCCTCCCCGCCCCCATGGGCACGTTTGTGTACACCAAGTTCCTCGACCTTCCGCTGGTCGACCGCCTCTCCGCGCTGCCGTTGCTTGAAGCCGTCGTGCAGTGGGATAACTCCGACCGCGCGTGGCGCAAGTTCGACAAAATGACCGCAAAGGAGCTTTTCAGGTACTACGGCTGCTCAGAGCGCGTCTACAAAGAGGCGTTTGAGCCCATGCTGCTCGTCGGGCTGTTCGCTCCAGGTGAGCAGTGCAGTGCCGCGGGCGCTCTGGGGATGCTGTATTTCTTCATCTTGGCGCATCAGGCTGATTTTGACGTCGTGTGGCCACGCGGGACCGTCGGCACCATGATCTTTGCGCCGCTGGTGGAGAGGATCAAGGCGAACGGTGCGGAGATCCGCACATCGACGAGGCTGGCCGACGTGCGCGTGGAGGGCGATCGCGTGACGGCCGTCGTGACCAAGGGCGCAGACGGAAGGGACGTCGAGGAGGAGGTGGATGCCGTCGTGTTCTCCGTAGGGATCAGCGGGATCCAAGGGATTTTGAAGGGGAGCAAGACATTGGCGGCGAGGGAGGAGTTTCGCAACACGAGCAACTTGACTAGTATTGATGTCATGGCCGTGCGCTTGTACTTTGATAGGAAGGTGCGCGTGGAGTTTGCGTCCAATGCGTGCTTTGGGTTTGATTCGTCTACAGGCTGGACTTATTTCGACCTCAACAATGTGCATGACGAGTTTCGCCGGGCGGAAAAGACCGTCATTGAGGCCGATTTTTATCACAGTAATCAGCTCATGCCGATGCGGGATGAGGATATCGCCGAGGAGGTGAGGAGGAGGCTCTGCGTGGCGGAGGGGAGCTTTAAAGGGGCCATCGTTGAGGACTTTGTTGTAGTCAGGGTGCCGAGAGGGGTTACGCGTAAGTTGAAGCGTTTTGACAAGGGTTTCGTGAGGAGGGCCAAGGTGTGCTGCAACTAACGCCCTTTTTTCTGTCTTGTCCTGTACCGTGCCGTAGATTTCCGACCTGGCTCATACCAGGACTTTATGGATTGCAACACGTCCTTGGAAAATGTCCATATGTCGGGAGGTACGTTCCAATGCTGGCCGATTCGGAAATCCGCTTGTTCTTCTTTCCATGTCCTGACTTCGCCATTTACACTCATTGCTTCTTTCTCGCCCGGCGTTTTTGCCGCGTCCTCGTCATCACCAACCGCTCAGACTGGTATGTTAGAAATTACATTTCGACGCTGCGCAACCTGGAAAAAGAGAGCAAAGCGACAGCACAGCCTCGTTCTAACTATCAGATTCTACGTCCATCTTTCTCCCCATTCTGCCTTCGGGAAACAGGATTCGAACGCTGCACGGCAGTTTCAGCCAGGAAAAGGCGCTCGTCACTGGCTATGAGGCCGCAAATGCCACCCTCGATTACTTGCGATTTGCCCCAGAAAGTCACGCAAAGATCATACCAGTCGAGGAGGACGAGGCACACATAGTAGCAGCAAGGAAGGCGTACCGCGCATTGGAGACAGTTCGGGACCGGATCAACCCGCTGTCCGAATTTTTCATGGCCTAAAAGGGTAGAGCGGTTGGCACAACATTCTTGTAACGTAAACCTCCAAACACGCGCATACATTGACTGTGTAAATTGGATCAAAGAACGGTAGATACTCGGCGATTGTTGCCGTCAGAAGAGGATTGTTATTTTAAATGGTAGATTTCAAATCCTTTAGCAGATCGCCGTATAGACTGACCGTGTCATCAAGGGCTTTCTTGCCTTGCTTGACGAGCGAGTCCTTGTTCTCCGTCAGTTCTGTAAAATTCACAGAGTATAACTGAAAGTCTATGGATGATATGCCATTGAGGACACCATTCCATTCCTCCTCGAGTCGGTCAATGAGATCAAAATCGGGAGAGGTTTGAGATACGATCTGCCACGACTTGAGAAAAGTTTTTCGAATGTTGAACAGTGGGCTCTTGACTCCAACAGTGCCTAAAACGCGCCGTACCACATCTCCATCATAGTTTTTTGTTTTTGCCTCCCATTCTCGCTGGAGCTCCACGAGCGCATCATAGCCAGCTTGTATTTGAGGCATGTATCTATGAGCAGAAGGAGAAAATTTGTTAGAGCACTTGTAGTGACTTAGTTTGATATCATTTTGTGGTGCTGGCGCTTACGTTTCAACCTTGTTGGGATCTCCACTCGTGTTGTACGATGGTGCCGTCGTGTCTGACGAGTACATGGCAGCTAACGCGGAGTGTGGCAATGGTGCTGCCAACACCAGCGAGGTTACCGCTAAATGGAGTACGCTTCGCCTATCAACGACCGACATTTTTACACACGTTGAGGCGGACCGTTCGAGACCGTCCCGCATCAAAGCTCGTTGTGACGGTCGACGCAAGATAGGCTGTGGAACAAAGGCCATGGTTCTTGCAAAAATAGGCGACGCTTGAAGTGGAGAGCACTCTTCGGGGATGTCACAGTTCCTCTTGCTCGGTTCGACGGCACCGTATTCCCCCGTTCCACGCTGACTCGGGCAAATTGTTCAAGAATCGATTCTGCTTGAAGGTCAACCCACGACTGCAAAGCTCAGTTATGTATGGAGAAACTGGAGAAAAGACTCTACGTCTGTTTCGTACATAAACCCTTCTACGGTAGCAAGTCAACCGCCTGACCTTCGTTGATATGGGCATCAGACACGTGTGACGTTGAGATCGCATGGGCTGTGCACCATTGGTTCTGACCAAATCTTTTTTATTGGCGAAAAAAAGTGGCTGATTTGAAAGTTTCGCCATTTTCAGACAAAAAAAACTGACTCTGAAAGCCTGAAAGTGTGGACGTTACCCATCCAATCACCGGACTTTGGGTCCCCCTGGTGACGTCACCCCGCTTTACGCCCTTGGGCGAACTACGTAGAAAACGTTTTCCACATGACTGCACTTCCGCAACACCGACCTTGGCACAAACCTTGCAAAGACAATCACCGTGTAACGTCAAACATTCGCGGAGCAGCCGCTGGTGAAATCAACTCCGCCATTTGCACAATTTCCCGTCTAACTAGTTGCATCCTCCTATCCAACGAGGCACAGGTGTAGAACGAAAGACTCGTGTATTTTCGTTTTCCCCGGGGAACATCCCGACAGCACCTACACAAGCAAGAGAACACCAACAGAGTATGATGAACAGTTTAGATAACCCTAATCCTGAAGTCAAGGTGCTCACCCGTACAAACTCCAAGCCATCCTCAGAACAGTCGTTCAAAGAAAGGATCTTCGATATAATCCGGGACATCCGCGATCCAGAGCACCCACACTCGCTCGAGGAGTTATCCGTCATCGACATAGACAGCATTTCAGTTGTAGAGCCGATCGACGACAGCCCCGGATACGGAACTGTATCAATTCACTTTACCCCTACCGTTCCGCACTGTTCGCTGGGCTCCATCATCGGGCTTAGCATTCAGACAAAGCTGTCCGAGAGCAACCTTCTCAAACCTCGTGGAGAACACTACTACAAGCTACGCGTCACATGCGCCGACGGTGCGCACGTCAACGCCGAGGATATCAGCAGACAGCTCACCGATAAGGAACGCATCGCAGCCGCGTCGGAGAACCCCCGTATCATGGGCCTCATACGAGCATGCACAGATAACCTGCCGTCGTGAATAGGCACTTCGCTGCTCGCCGCTTGGATCGGAGGTGACAACTCCCGCTCGATATGGTAAACTAGATCCTTGTCCAGACTTTTAACAAGATGTTTTTGTACATAACCGCGTTTCCCCTTAGTTCGATTTTTTTGAACCAGAACCGACTTGTGAAACGGCATCGCTCAAATCCGTCTGAAAGCTCGTCGCTAGAAACCTTCCCTCCTCCGTAAAATACTTTTCGTATCCGTTGGTAATTTCGACTTTTCCTTCGCTCTGTTGAGGGGATGTGCGGATTGTAAGCCGATAGATGCTTGACCCCTTCTCACCGAGTCTGGTGGATACCCACACCTTTTCTGGAAGTTTGCTTTTCGCTATTCGTTTCGCTTTTGCGGCGAGTCTGCCTACATACATGGCATTCGCATCCCATATATAAGCGGAAAGATTGATCGATCCAATGCACGCCCCATAAAGCAAGACACAACCCAACACAATGTTTCTGTTCCCCGGAAACTCCCAGGGGTTGAAGTGGGAGAACATCGCCGCCGCTACCGCAATAGTACCCGCCAAGATCTTGATATTGCTAACAAGCACGGCCTCGTCGTATCCCTTGGCTTCCATACACTGTACATGAGAAAGTGTCGGAATGGTCAGAACCCCAAACACATCGTCAGGAACGCCGCTATCAAAACGAACACGACATGACAACTCACCTCTATCATCTCATCGTCCAAGAGTCGCTTCACCTGCGCTAGATCGTAAAGTCCTGACTTGTCTATCTTCGCCCGAGGGTTCGTCACTGCCGGGGTCGAAGAACCTGTCTCAGCCCCAGACGTCTCCTCACTGGCGCTTTCACCTTTCGGGGCAGCCCGGCGACGCCACCACAGCATGGAGATGGATTTATTCTTGCAACGACGTAGTGGACCAGGATGTAGAACAAGAGGGCAGGAGTGCGGCGGAGAGGCGTATCGGACTGACGGGACGGTGACTTAAGAGAAGTTGGTTTTGCTGTACAGCAGCAGGCGGCTAGTTTCACTCCCCTTTTGCGAATGCCAAAAAATTATTATGCGAAGCCTGATTTATTTACGACTTGCTCTGTTTCAATCATTTTGAATCGACATCGTTGCACCCTCGATTCTAGCACGAGCGCCCCGGAGCCGCGTGCATTCGCAAGCCTTCTACCTTCTTCACTAGAATATACGAGTATTCCTTTCGCAGACCTTCGCAACTATCGCGATGCATTGAGCATGGCCAATATATAAGCAGATGTTAGCAACCATCACAAAATCCGCTCATGGATGGTAACAGTGTGTGAGCTGCGAGATAAGTGTTTCAGCCTTTCAAGTATCTGCTTTTTGTTGGAGTGTAGGAGAACGAGGGCAAGAAGCAGAACCGTGGAAAAAAAAATCGTCCCCGAAAAGCTATTGAAGAGATATTTCTGCTCGGATAAGAGACGTTTTGAGATGCCAACATTACCAACTTGAGCGCGGTCGATGCTAAATAGTCTAGGACACTAAAGTGTCACTCTCAGGAGTAAAAAAGAAGTGCCGATGTCGGTCGCCCTGTGGCAAGCAATTACATACAACAGATAATGGATATAAACTGAATGCTTGTCGCCGAAAGCAGACCTTGACGTTGCAGACCGCATTGTGTCCGCGCAAAGACGCCATTTCCGTTCTCTCTTAAGCACCACGGCCGACTCTGGAGCTAGAATTTACACCAATGAGCACACCAACCCCCCCCCCCCCCCCCCCCCCCTCCGCTCTGGTCTTCGTAGAATCCGAAGACTAACGCACCTCTTTCTGTTCTTTATGACTTTGAACCCCAACTGTAGAATTTACCGCAGCCACCAATATCACGATGAAGTGAATTAATTTATGTACAGGACTTCGACAGTTTAAGACCTGTTTCACGCAACTGCGCTTCTCAACTGACCTCTCGGCCTCACGGTGCATGTCTGTCATGAGCTGTAGAGAAAGACAGGTCAAATGAAAGTTCGTCATGGGCAATAGGGGGGAACCAAGTGAAACCCAATGTCGCCTTCTTAGAGACGCAAACAGTACCTCCTTCTGTTTGTAGCTTACGTTCGTGTGAAAGTTCCTCTAGGCGAACGGACAGTCCGTACCCAGATGAGTCTTGAAGTTATGTCTGTCCTCTGCTATGTTCGAATGCAATGCCATGGCCTTCCAACGCTTCTGACATTTTGGCGGAATGCTATCACCTCGATATAAGAGTCAGGTCCTTAGTTCCTCGAACCATATAGGCATTGTTGAAACGATCCCCTCGCCCGGCGTTGTCTTCAACCAATCAATAGATAACGCATATGTCCGTTAGGTGAGACTATGAGGTCTTGGACATGCGGGAGAACGGAATGGAACGACCGCGTTATATGAACGAAACCGATGCAAATGTCTTTTGAGCCAAAACCACGGAAAAAAAAACGGTACGCGTCTCTATGTCCGATACCCGGTCGCTATATTCGTTTGCCGCAAGAATATTATAAGCAGCGGCAACCATTACGTTCCCCACGACTCCCTTGCATGTCACAAGAACAGAAAACTATTGTGCTGCCTCTTAGAACTGAAGAGCACTGGCTCCGCAATAAAAATAAGTAAATCGCCCTGAGAAATTATGCCTCCTCCAACCGAAATAACAGTACTCTGTTCGGCTCGTAGGTGACGCTTAGTAGTAACAAAGAAACGAAAATAAAGACAAGGAAAATATAGTGTTAGATATCAGACGACCATACTCATACATAGCCATGAAACTCATTGCGGACTTACCTCGCAATCCTGCCAGAAGGATCGATCGAAAGAGCTGGGCTCGCAGTGCCCTCGACATGACCCGCCTCAAGGCTTTCAACCTTTTCGGTGCGCAGTTCTGAGACTTCTGGTAGAAGACTATTTCTATCCTTTGAATGACTATCCAAGGAGACCCTGCGATCCTGATCTGTTTCAGAATGTATCCAAAGCTCGCACTTCGCCTTGCTTTCGTCGCTTTTCGATGGCTGGTCTACTGACGCTTCGCGAACCAAAAACGCGACTCTGGCATTCGCATACGCAGCCGCGTCGTAGATTAAGCGCCCTTCGCGGAGAAATCCCGCATGCGATATAGACCATTTCCGCTTTTCTGCGTCGTAAAACACCGAAATCAAATTCCCAGCTCCCGACACAATCGAAGTCACTGTTCCTTCGTAGGCATTGCCTTCATCCGCTTTTCTCACATCGCGAAACTTCGGGCAAGCAGCGCCACTCCCAGCCGGAACCGAAAAGAAGATACCCTCGTCTGCTGGCCATGACAAGCAGCTCTCGAGGACCGGCCGAGCAATCATCTTTTGACAAAACCTGCGATGGTTCTCGACTGCAGGAAGAAGGCGAATCTTGAACGATTCTTCCACTGGATCGAGCGCAGAGGGGCCTGCAATGGACGCGGATTGCGATGTTGCTCGTTGAAAGAACTTTGATACCAATCTCCCATCTTCCCCAGTCAGGTTAGCCAATTCGGGCGCTGTTCTTCCCCGACTTGTATTCCCACCCGCTCTCGTTGCAGCTATTACCAACCATGCAAGAAACGCCTCAGTTTCGTTTGCCATACTTTCAATCTCCCACATAATCTCACCCAAAGCCCAGTACAGACTCTCCGTCAGCTCGAACAACTCGCGTGCCTCGTGTTCCTTCACGCCAACTGAAGAAAATCTTGATCTCAATTTGGAAAGTGCTTGGTACTCACAGGCCCTTACGACGCTATTCTCCGCCACCGGTAGAACGTCATGCAACGCGTCAGACAGGTCATCCACATGCCCTCGAAACGCTCGCAACGCCTCCTTTGCGCCATTCTCGCTCATATCCGCTGCAAGAAACTGCAGAACGGCCCCGTCCACAGTCCCGCCACAAAACACGTAGTGCAGCATCTCCCACGGGTTCCTCGACTTAGGCTCCGCGAAGTCCGTCAGCAACTTGTCCATAGGTTCAAAAACCGTGGCTTTCCTGACCTCAGCCGCCCCCTGCAGCCAGCACTCTTCAATTCGGGTGGCGGTCGCTTGCACTCTCTCCATAAACGCCTTTAACGCGACCACCTCCCGCCCGATCCGCTCGATCTCTGGCAAGTGCTCTAGCACGGTCTCCAAACCTACAGCCCGGACCACACACTGAGCATCGCCTCCCCGGGCCCGCGTGCGCGGTCCGCCCGTATCCCTCACTCTCTGCCCGTAAACGATGCACTGCGACACCTCGGCATTAACATGCAAGCCCACGACCGTATAGCCCTCCGGCAGCACGCGCACCCTCGCGATGAGAAACGATAAGTTTTGCGACAAGATAGTCAAAAAGCCGTCGCGATCGCCACAAAAACTTAACCCTTCTGCCCGGACCACCTCGTCAGGCACGGCAAGCATCCCCGCGCGATCCTCGTAAACGTCGCGCGTGGTGCGGGGCGCACCCACCCAGGCCAAGCAAGCGGCCGGCACGGGCAGGGTGACGGTGGCGATGGCCCCCCCGGTGTCTCTTGCGACGCGCTTCGCTCTTGCGGAAGAGGCGAAGGCGGAACGGTCCACGGAGAGGATGGAGAGGTCCGCGGCGGAGGTGGCGACGAGCAGATGGGCGCCGTCGGGCGACCAGATGAGCGAGGATATGTGTTGGCCGGGGGCCATGGAGAGGGAGATGGTTGCCAGACGCTGCCAGGACAGACGGAAGATGGCGACGGAGGTGTGGTCGAGGACCAGAGCGAGAAGATTCATGCGCGGCGACAGGACGAGATGGGACACGGGAGCAGAGGTGTTGCGATCTTGTAGAAGGAGCGGGGCTGCGCCTTCCATTGGGGTTGATTTGAGGACCATGGTCGAGGTAGGTGTCTCGAGGGAGGTGTTAGTGGTGCTGCGGTTCGGAGGTTGAGTGAAGGAAAGTGAGAGACCCGGTGGGCATCACGCGGAGTGAGTTGTTGGCGTGTTGAAGAATCGCAAACGTGTCTCGGTTGGCAAGAATAAAAAGTGAATGCTAGAGATGAAGATGATGATAATGATGGAGCTTCGACGCCTGACCGATGCGGTGGTCTACAAGGGAGCAACTTGAAAGATCAATGCGCGATCAGCTGCTCCCTGTTTGTCTGGCAACAGAATTTGAGCCAGATATGTCCCTTCAAGAGCAACCAGAAACCCAACAACGTGTGTAAAGTTATGATCACTATCTTCACCTTAAACAAAACGAAATGGCGGGAAATCCTTTACATCGCTGTCACCAGCAATGTCGACACGTTGCCACGTTCGCACCGTATCATACAGTACAGAACACACCCTCCGGTCATCCGTATACTGTACCCCCCCCCCCCCCCCTTCGCCTGTTCGCCTGCCACCTTCATCCGACACAACTCCTCCTCCACCCCCTTGCCTTCGTCGCCAAGCCGGGGTCTCATTGCTCCCACCCTCGCCTCAATGGCCGCCTTCGTATCCACCGAGCAGTGGTCCCAGCTCGCCGTGATCGCCGCGGTCGCCGCCTCCCACATGTCCCTCCCCAACCACTGGCTGCCCTACTCGCTCGTGGGCCGCGCTCACGGCTGGAACCTCACCTCCATCCTCGGCTTGAGTACGTCCATCCCCCACACATCCTCACCTCTCCACTCGTACTAACCCCTTCATCCCTCACAGCTTTCCTGGGCGCCCTCGGCCACGTCCTGAACACTCTGCTCCTCACCCTCGCTATCTCCGAGCTCTCCGGCAGCTTCTTCTCCGAAGATGCCTACCGCTTCCTCTCCAGCCTCTCGCTCTTCGTCTTCGGCCTGTACTATCTCTACACCTACTTCATCGCCCGCCGCCGCGAGTCTTGCTGCGAACCAGGTGCCAACGGCTCCGCCCCCGTAGTGTCAACCTCTGCCCGGCCCACTGACCCGCCCGCCGTTCACCGCGCAGCCGCAGGCTCGCTGCTGCTGCTAACAGCCGTGTCGCCTTGCGTGGGAAGCATGCCGGTCCTCATCGCGTTTCTCGCCCCGCCGTTGTCTGTGTCCACCGTCATGGCTGCGGGCGTCACTATGCTCCTGGCGTCAGCAGGAGTGATGATGGTCCTCGTCGCCGTCAGTTATGCAGGGTCCAAGACGCTCGGTTTTGCTAAGGTTCGACATCATGAGAGGTGTATTCTGGGAGTCGCACTTATCGTCCTGGCGCTCTTGACATTTTTCATGTTTTCGCATCACCATCACCACCATCATCAAGCGCATGGCGTGAGTCATTCCAGCCTAGAGCACGCTCACCATGGTCATGATGTGCCGCTGTTGGGCCGGAGTGGTCAGCATGAGCATCATGATTGCGAACACGGTCATGATGACGCCCATGTGCACGGATTGAGCGCTGGTGAAAATATTCGTACGGAAAACAATCACGGGCATGCGGCGAGATAAACTACGTGTCGTGATGGTTACGTCACGCATCTTTTTTGACACAGGGCTTACATCCCTGAGCCTGCATATTCGTACACTGTGTACGCGCCCAAGGTTGTGAGGGTAAGAACGTGTTAAGAACTTTTAGCTAAGTTCTACCGGACCGTTGTTCTCATATGAGGACACTTTTTGAGTTAAATTTTTTCCGACTAGCGCACTCGACAAGAAGGAAAAAGCTTCCCCGCCGCCGCACTTGACTTCTGCCTTGGGGCCAGAAAGAGATTTATGAGAATTGCATGTTCTTCCTGGCCGTTTTCATATATGTCTAATGTCTAGTAGTAGTATCGGACTGTTCGTCCTCATATGAGGACAGAAGTCATTTTATTTTTTCTAGACAACGCAATGCGCCATTTCACTTCTGTTTTTGCAACTGGAAGGCCATCACCACTGGTAAAGCACTTGCTCGTCGATTCTAGCGAAAACCAACTCGTTGGAGCACATAAGTGTGGTCCAAAGAAAAAGTTGGGATACAGCATTTTTCCCAGAGCAAATTTTACAACAGTAGCATAGAAACATTACGCGGAGTGCTTTCTATTCGATTCAACTTCAGAAAAATTCAAAAACTAGTGTCTATCCGACCAAGCGTTACCATAACATAAAAACGAGTGAATTTTATATCTTTTCAACTTTGATGTCCGCGGTATCCATTTTTTTTTTTTTTTTGTAGGTTGACTCTTTTTAAAACTTTTACCTTTAAAGTTTAAAGGTAAAAGTTTTACCGTAAAACCGAATAGAAAGCACTCTAAACTTTAGAGTGGCATGGAGACACTCTTTAGACGAATACCCGCAGCAAACCGGCGGCTTTTGCCGCACATCCGACAAACGTACCCGACGCTGTAGTGCTCCATCTGTGCAGCTTGTCACAGTTGCTTCCATTTGCGCAGTTCCATCCACAAAGGAAACTGTTTCCTGATACCATCGGGACCGTTAAATCAAAGTAGCAATCTTATTCTCGATGGCCGGGGGTACTGGACTTGTACATGACTGTGAAGCAGATTGGCGTTTGAGGAATCCGCACCGTTGCGTCAAAACCACTTTGTTAATCATCTTTTGCGGTGCAACAGAGCGAATGTGGTTTCGCAAAGAGGCGCTCATTTGACTTTCCGCCCCTTTGGAGGTGATGATTGTGTCCTCCAACCGCGAGTAAGCGTTGTAAAGCTCGGACGGTTGCAATTGCCCAGATATTGCTTCTGCGCCTCTGTGTACTCAGCCACGATGGCATTCACTGCCCGTCTGAATGGTTCATGCAGCGCCCATTCGTATAGAGACAACCCAATTGCCTTTGTAGCCCCAAGCTTAACTCCCATGTTTTGGCGTACGTGTAGGGGGTCCAAGAACATCTTTGCCTCATTGAAAACTTCTTTACACGCCTTGTCGATGCTCTTCTCTTGGTCAACGATGGCGGTGCGTTCTGCGACGTTCGAACCCGGGTATCTCCTTGTATGCCTCAAAGACGGTTCTCCAGTACTCGTAACTCTCAGCTCCAACGAAGTGGGCAAACACCAGTGGCAGGAGGTGCATGTTCGTGTCGTACGTTACAACCTCGAATGTAGTCCCGTACGATTGCGGTCCCACCCCGTCACAGTGAGCCGCATCGGCTGCTGCCGTCCTACGCCCAAGAGCACAATAACGAGCAGCAACGCTCGGCACGAATAAGAGCCCACCGTAGTAGCGACCGTCTTCTGCAATATCCGACATGTCAATCACCTCTTCGTTGAATTTGGCGTCCTCTGGGATGTTTTTCGCCTTCTTGCACTGTTTGAAGATGTGCTTGGCAGACCGGATTCTCTGCTGCTTCATCTCCGAACCGTCAATAATGAAGATACGAACGGTGTGCCCACAGTTGCGCAGCAATTCAGCATACCCCTCCATGCTTGCCATATCGACAGCCCGAGATGCGTCCATATGTCGCAACAGCTCGACACGTACGGAGCGATAGTGGCTATCCGGCGGTTGGCGCTTGTAAATTTGCTTTGCCCTTACCAGCGCAGCGATAGTTTTCGCCCAGATGTTTGGATTGCTCGTAGCCTCGCTCTGAATGGCACGAGCAATTGCTCGTGCCATTCAGAGCGATGCCGGCATATAATCCCTTGCAGGTTAACCTGCAAGGGAGTATATGCTGGCATGCAGTGCCCTCGCCTCCTACTCCCTTGCTGTTCCTCTTCTCCGCTCACATGTTGCCCGCTGCATTCGTTGGAATGCTCCGTAAACCTGTTTAGTTTCCAAAGACCTGAGCGAGGCTGCCAATGGAACACAATTGAAGCATGGCATGTCGTGTTGCGGCATTTCATTCTCACTCTTTCCCACGTTTGGGAGTTGTTTACCCCGATCTGAACCCCTACATAATCCGTGTATGCTCGAATCAATTGCTCACATTGCCAGCGAAACTCCAGTTGCATGCCAAGCTCCGGGATAATCCCGACACATCGGCGCGGCTTCCATGTACGCGCTCCCACTTGCTCGGCCTTGAGGGCAAGCTTCGCACGTTGCATCGTGCGGTATTTAGAGGCACGCTTCTGTTCAGAACGTTTTCGGTCCAGAGCAGAGTCTTTGCTACCTGCAGATTTTTTCCCGCGCGCGGTATTTCTTGGCGTCGCGGAAAATTGGCCCCCCCCCGCGCGTCCACTTGCGGAAGTGTCACCACTCTCTCCTCGCATTAAATCCGTGTCACCACTCGACTGGGCTTCGTCCTCCATGTCCTCACTCAGTCCTGCGAGCCTGGCAATAACGGCATCGTCAGCATCTCCAATGACGTAATTTGCAGGGGAATAGTACGCATCTTTGTCCCTTTCTTCGCTTCCACTCTCACTATCAGGGCCATCCTCGTCTTCATCTGCGTATGCAGTAGACCACCAATCACCGCAACCTCCCCCAGTCTCCTCATACGTTTGAGGAGGCTCCGGAGCGTCTTTCTCGCAAGATTGAGGAGCATCATCACCATCCACGCCCCCACGGCCTGGCTTTACAACAGGCGAAATACCATCGCTTGAGACCTCACCGCTTCCTTCCTCCCCTTCTCCCCGGCTTTACCGTTCCTGCTCCGATCCCTAACGCTCCCCACGCGCATGTTCAGTACGCCCTTTCTCTGCGCTTTCCTGCCATTTGCTCTCACTCCCTTCGCGATGGATCTCCTCGCGCTCGTGATCTGCCCTTTGACGCTCCCCGTCCTCGCGCTCTGCCATCTCAGGAGCTGTACGCGCCCTTTCTTCACGTGCGCGTGCATCACGCACCCTCCGAGCGGTAGCCTCTTGCCGCTCCTCCTTCTCCCTCTGCTGTTGAGCAGCTGCGCGAGCATGCTCATTTGTGGAGTTTGGCGTAAGATTGCGCGCGGTAGTTGGAGCTTCTTTGCGCTTACGGATCTCTTCGGCACGTCTCTCGAAGACCCGCAACTCCTGCTCCCAGATTGTTTCAGAGAGCAAAAACTTAAGACGACCCCGCAAGACGAAATCTCTGTCGTGATAGATGTCTTTCTCGTTAACAGCAACGGCAACGAGGTTTTCTACCATTTCCATTGCCCTAGTCAATGTACGCATTCTTCGAGTCGCCCCTCGGGGATCGTCGCGGCAGATGTCCGGGTGAACCAAGGCAGCGAGACGGCGGAAAGCTTTTCGAACAGCTGATATCGGGGCAGTCGCTCCCGTGAAGCAAAACAGGTGTAGAAGGGTCGTAGCATTTTCCTCCACAACATTGAAGTGACGGAGGGCCTGCACAGTCGTTTTCGGTAGGTCTGGGACTGCTAGGGGCCACATGGTTGTCTGGTTTCAGCAGCGTCCTTACGGTGACGTGGGGGAATGCAGAGCAGAATGCAGGGTGAATCAGGCAGAAGTAAAGAGATTAGCGAGACCAGGAGCAGGTCGTTCGCGGATAGGGTGACAACGTGGGATTACAGGGTGATTCTTCATTGTCCTTCACGGCTTAAGGGGTGATTCTGCTGACTAAAATGCGACATTTTCCGTTGTGATTGGAAACGATGGTGACATATGAAAATCACCTACGGAGCCGTCCACCGCCTTCCTATTCACCCTCCATGCCATCCACCTTTTCCCCTGTCATGCCCCCGATTGTCTAATTCTGCAAGCTGTCACCCCCCCAATCACAGAATCTCCCAAAAATAAAAACTCTCTTGTCTTCGAATGAAAACTAATTTAGCGGTACACATCGTTAATGAGTAGAAGATGTAGCATGAGCGCAGATCAGAATTAGATTTAGAATTAGATCGCGCGCGCGCACACACGTGTACTGTCAGGACTGTCGGGACGCCCGCACACACGTGTACTGTCAGGACTGTCAGGGCGCGCGCACACACGTGTACTGTCAGGACTGTCGGGACGCCCGCACACACGTGTACTGTCAGGACTGTCAGGGCGCGCGCACACACGTGTACTGTCAGGACTGTCGGGACGCCCGCACACACGTGTATCATCGGCGCGCGCGCGCACACGTGTATGGACAGCGCTACAGTAGCTGAGTACGGTAGCTCAGCACTGTAACGCGCTACAGTGCAGTACGGACTGTACTGTAGCCCTGTATGATAGACGCGACAGACGCGTAATTGTATATTAAACCACGGGAACCGACGGCGGCGGAGGGAAGGCAAGCATCGGCTTGGCGAGACCCTCACCGTCGGCTAACCCGGAACGCTTACTCTAACTCGCGCACGCTCTCTCTGTTCGCGTTTTAGAGTAGAAGGACACGGGTAGCGGACGCGTACGCGGGCGTGTGAGCTAGGATCCGCCTCCGCCCGTCGGCACTGGAGCGTCACCCAGTGCCGCGCCGGGGCGTCGAGGCGTCGATCCGCTCTACCGCGTACACTAACGCGTTCGCGACCCGACCCGCTCTACCACCGCTACCGGCCCGTGTCCTTCCTCACGCGTTGCTTACTGGTCCTTTCTGTTCTTCTCGCGTTCTACAGGGCCTCTTACGCGGACTGAGCATACAACCCTGTCGTTGGGGTGTTTGTGCTACAGTGGTCTTCCGACCTAGAAGGCCACGCGATTATCGCGAGAAGAATATCGTTCGAATCCGCG